TCAGGACATAGTGGCCCTATAGAAACCCCCTCTTTATGTGTTACTTAGCTCAGTTGGTAGAGCATGAGGCTCTTAATCTCAGGGTTGTGGGTTCAAGCCCCACGTCGGGCAAAATATTCCTGCATTGAACTAGATGACCCTTGCGGCCCCTTCCAGCTCTATTATTCTATTGATCCTATTCTATGACTTCAAAATGTAGTAAGTGTGGATCTAGGCACACCGGGGGGGGGGGGGGAGGATGCTATATATAAGTGAGAAAATAAATCATAACAAAAGAAAAACACTATGGAAAATTACATAGAATTATTATTTTTGCTCTCCAGCGCCATATTATGTTGCATGTTTATAATGCATTCAAAACGCTGTGTTTTGACTAATGTAGCCGAGTCCTTCTGCATCTGGGAGATCTTTTCATTCTGCTGAGATGGGCCCTGGATATCTTGCCCTGAATGCACCATTGCCCATTTTACAAACTGAGGAGTGAGACTGATTGCTAATGATAATACAGTGGTACCTTGGTTTATGACCATCATCAGTTCTGGAGGTCCGTACGTAAACCAAAACAGGTCATAACCCAAGGCACGCTTTCGCCAATGGGGCCTCAAAAAAAGGGGGGGTTGTAATCCCCCCAAAATTGTTCGTAAACAAAAAAAATTGTTCATAATAAAAAAGAAACGGGTCATAATCCAAAAAAAGTTCACAAACCGGGATGCACACTTCCGGGTTTGAATTGGTCGTAATCCAAAATGGTCATAAACTAGGCTGTTCGCAAACCAAGGTACCGCTGCACAGACTCTGTTGCCAACCACAACCCTTCTGACTTTAAATATCACTTCCTACCCACTAGAACACACTGGTGGTGGCTGCATCGATGAACTTCAATGGGTTTATTCTGCATAGAACTTCTTTGACTACAGCCCAGCGTGCAGGATTGCTAGCAATCCTAGCTGCAATGGATTTCCCATGCATTTCAACAGAAGCATCCAGAACATTTTTTATTTATATTTATTTAATTTTTTACTAAATTTGTATACCTCCCTTCATCCAACGGTCACAGGGCGGTGCACAATATTAAAATACAAAATATGGCCACAAAATACATAATGAAAGTAAAAGCAAACCAATAACACCCACCCTCCCTCCACACATGTAAAAGGACATAGAATGTGAATAGTCGCTTTTCGTCCTTTCCTCATCACAAGTTTTTCTCCCCTGCCCCGAACTGAGAACAATAGGTCGTCAGCAAACCCTTCTTCTCACAACCCACCTTAGCAAAGAAGAAAATGCAAGTGGAATATGCTTGGCTTAGCTAAGAATAAAAATCTCACAGGTAATCAAAATGTTTCTCCAAAATTTAATCATTACAGATAACCAATGATATGAGAAGAATTAACCACATGGAGTTAGCTGGAAGTCATCTTTTTTCTTTATCTTCTTTCTTTTTCCCTTTTTCTTCTAGGTTTGTTTCTTTTTAATCTTCTTTTCTTGGAGTGGTGTTTTTCTTTTTCATAGGAGAATATAGCGCCTATATTCTTGTCTGCAGTTTTTGTTATCATTATTGTATTTATGTGTTTGTTTTCTGCTTTGTATTTTTCTGCTTTGGTATTATATGTTTGTTTTATTCATTGTCTATTTGTATGATGCATAAGTGTAAATAAAGCATTTTAAAACAGAAAAAAGGAGAAGATGCTGCTGAGTCATGCTTCTCGAAGGAAATCTGTGCCCCCTGTCCTCTGCCTTGTGGCTTTTAAAAAATGAAATAAGAACAAATCCCTCACACGCACACTGCTACAAAATAGTTGGTGAAGTATGCAGGTATGCATGAGTTCCTCAGACCCGAAAATGCAAACAGTCACATTAAGAATGTTTAGTTCTTCCTGGTTAGGTAAGACATCTGCAGGCTTGCTTGGCCTCTGGGAGAGAAAAAAATGGCAAAGGAATCTTATTGATTTCATTTTTTGTTTGTAAAAATGGGTGTGTGTGTGTGTTTTTATTTATTTATTTATTTATTTATTTATTTATTTATTTATTTATTTCCCACCCATCTGGCTGGGGAAATCCAGCCCGATGGGTGACTTCCAACAAAGATTAAAAATACATTAAAACATCAGTCATTAAAAACTTCCCTAAAGAGGGCTGCCTTCAGATGCCTTCTAAACATCAGATAGTTGTTTATTTCTTTGACATCTGATGGAAGGGCGTTCCACAGGGTGGGTGCCACCACCAAGAAGGCCCTCTGCCTGGTTCCCTGTAACTTGGCTTCTCGCAGCGAGGAAACCGCCAGAAAGCCCTCGGCGCTGGACGTCAGTGTCTGGTCAGAACGATGGGGTGGAGACGCTCCTTCAGGTATACTGAACAGAGGCCGTTTAGAGCTTTAAACTTCAGCACCAACACTTTGAAATGTACTAGGAAACGTACTAGGTATAAAAAATAAAGGGCAGTCCCTCCAGTTACAGGCTTAATTTTGAGTCCATGGCTCCAAGACATGCTAGCTATGTTCTACTTCCACTGTTCAAGGCAGCATGGCTCTGAACACAAGCTGCTGGGAAAGTGCTATTATGCTCAGATCCTACTCGCAGGCTTCCCACAGCTGTCTGGCTGGCTTCTCAAAGAACAAGATGCTGAACTAGATGGACCTTTGACCTGATTCATCTTATATTCTTAGCAATGTGTTCTGCACTGCTTTTGTAGGCATTTGACTCCAGTATTTGAATTGCTTGGAAGTAACATGTGTCAGTCTTTGTCCATGGGGTTTTCTTGACAGGGATACTGGAGTGGCTTGACGGTTCCTGCTCCAGGTCAGGACAAACCTAGACAGCATCTTAAAAAGCAGAGACATCACCCTGCCAACAAAGGCCCGTATAGTTAAAGCCATGGTTTTCCCAGTAGTGATGTATGGAAGTGAGAGCTGGACCATAAAGAAGGCTGATCGCCGAAGAATTGATGCTTTTGAATTCTTGAGAGTCCCATGGACTGCAAGAAGATCAAACGCATCCATTCTTAAGGAAATCAGCCCTGAGTGCTCACTGGAAGGACAGATCCTGAAGCAGAGGCTCCAATACTTTGGCCACCTCATGAGAAGAGAAGACTCCCTGGAAAAGACCCTGATGTTGGGAAAGATGGAGGGCACAAGGAGAAGTGGACAACAGAGGACGAGACGGTTGGACAGTGTTCTCGAAGCTATCAGCATGAGTTTGACCAAACTGCAGGAGGCAGTGGAAAACAGAAGTGCCTGGCGTGCTCTGGTCCATGGGGTCACGAAGAGTCAGACACGACTAAACAACAACAACATGTGTCAGATGGCACAAGTATTATGTTCAGGTATGGGGAAGGAAGAAAAGGGTCCTTCTTTGCAATGGCGCCAGCCTTGCGGAACACGCTGCCCATTAAATGTTCCAACTTTGTACATACACATTTGGTCAGATGCTATTTTTGCAGGGTTTGCAGGCTATCGAAGGATGAGATGACCAGCAGGCAGCATCCGATTTCTTCTTTGACAACTGTTTAATCTGCCCATACTGATTGCATTTTTTATTGTTCTGTGCTTATATACCATATTTTGTAATGTTCATCTGTTTATAAATGTTCCAAATAAGGTAAGGTCCACGCTATCTGTGAAACCATAATCACGGCTGGGAAATCGTTCCAAATCCTGATGGGCTCTGGGAGCAACTGTTGCTAGAATAAACTCAGCTGTTGCAGCCCAACTGCATGGAACGGAAGCCGCATCAAGACACAGTGAGATATAAATGGTTCATGAAGATGCTTCGTTTCCAGTAGACCTGAAATGTGATGCTTCTAAAATCTCATTTTTGCTGTTTGTTTGTTTGTAAAATCAGTTGTCACATTGGGGAGATGCATGAGAAGATGGCAGAAGAGGAAGTCCTACTGAGCAATCAGAAGTCCTTATACTTTCAGGATGACTTCATTGGATACAACCCTATGCCAGGCTAAGTCATTTATCCTGGGTACATTTTGTAGCCTTACAGTTTTCGAGTGCATAATACATATTTCCACTGGCCTGGGAGGAGAACCATGGTATCTTCCCACTCATTGACAGAAATACACAATATAATGTTCTGCCATAGGAGCAATAGCGACCATGGCCTCTCCACGTGCTTTACTAAGGCTAAATTCCTGCTATTTCCTCTTATTAAATCCCCACAGGGGCTACATTTCTCCAAGTTCCAAATAGCTACAGAGGAGGAGATTGATTTTAGTTGAACAGTCAAGTGACCTTTACATTAATCACTATAGTTGCTCCTTCCATCTACCCCCTCCCTCCTTTTCTTTTAAGACACCTTTAACCTGCACCTTGCAAGGCTTGTTTGAATTTAAAAGCAAAACCTTGTTACACAGTGCAGTTGGCATAATATTGTCAAGATTTGGAGCAGTTATTTCTAGATTGTAAAAATGTGCTTTTGAAACTTGCATTTATTTCAGACTCGTGACAGTTCTTTGCAGACTGGAGAATCAAATGGAGACACCATCTGAGCAACTACCTCATCAGTTGATTTTGTAAGATGCTACCAATTGGCTGGGGACACGGGTGGCGCTGTGGGTAAAAGCCTCAGCGCCTAGGGCTTGCCGATCGAAAGGTCAGCGGTTTGAATCCCCGCGGCGGGGTGCGCTCCTGTTGTTCAGTCCCAGCGCCTGCCAACCTAGCAGTTCGAAAGCACCCCCGGGTGCAAGTAGATAAATAGGGACCACTTACTAGCGGGAAGGTAAACGGCGTTTCCATGCGCTGGCCACGTGACCCGGAAGTGTCTCCGGACAGCGCTGGCCCCCGGCCTCTTGAGTGAGATGGGCGCACAACCCTAGAGTCTGTCAAGACTGGCCCGTATGGGCAGGGGGTACCAATTGGCTGCATGTAATTCACTTCTCATAGATATCCCTCACTGCCAATTTAGTTGTGGTGTTTTTAACAATAGCCTTACATCTGAGCATAGATCAAACATCCATTGACAAAAAAGCATGGTCCAGTTTTGATGGCAAGGTCCATCCCAGGCAGCTCCAATAATATAAGATGGGAGAAGGGGCCAAGAACACTTAGGAAGAAGAACCATGTAAACAGGATCATGAAAGATCAGTTTGGAGAAGAGACATTTGTGTGGTCCTTCTCATGACCTCCTACTCCTTTCTCGTGGTTCCTACATTCCTACATTTCCAAAGCAGCATAGGTGTCAGGAGTCCAGTTCCTGGTTTGATAACACAGTGAGCGTAGTTCATTAAAGGATGATTTATTGTCAAAACAAAGAGATAACTCTGAACAGCTCTAACACAGCCGTCACCATCATTTATCATGATGACCCGTCTGAAGCCTACTTCCAGTGAGACCAGAAGCAAGTGAACTTTTCCCTCTGGTGTCTTTTGCACTGCCTCCTATCCTGTAGCCCTCCCATTCGCCATGACCTGGGACTAAGAGGGTCAGCTCCCACCTCTTCCTCATTCTCTTCACTCTTTCCTGACTGATGAACTGCTTCCTTCTCTATTCCCAGTATTTTGCACTTCTTGAGAGAGTTGGCAGGGCTAAGGCTCACCCTCCACCATTCTCTTATCAACTGACATTCCTAAGGGCAGGGGAATTGGCACTGGGCTGTGCTCATCTTGCCTGGCAGTTAACCCTCTCTCTTCCTGGCTACTTCCGTCACTGGGAGCTGGCTACAAACCTTCCCTGGGGGCTGGCTCATTCATGACAATAGGATGCAGCCATTGGAACACAGGTATCCTATAACACAAAATTGGGCCTACATTTAGTGCAAATTGGGTGCTGTTGTATAATTTATAGTAATGTAAAGGTCTGCATTAGGAAAAACAGGAGAAAATGCTTTCAGAATATAATTGCCTGGTTCACACATAACCCCAAGTCATGATTTCTTTAAGCTATGGCTTGTTTAACAAACCATGAGCTAACCACGAGGTGTCCTACAGACAATAAAAGAAGCAATTGCTTGTTTTTCCAAAGTTTGTTTTGTTTCAAGCTGCTCTCACTTCATGATAATGTAGTTTCTAGGCTGCGATGATCGAAATAACCATGGCTAAGGAAGACATATAATACAACAACCTAACAAGCTAAGGAGCTGCGAGTCTGGTGAGTGTCTGTATGGAAGACAACCTTTAGTCCCAGTGTGGAAGAAAAGCTGGATATAGATGTTTGGGGAAATCTTATTCCAAAGATAACACATCAAAAGCCTTTCAAGGCCCTGGTTGAAGTTTTCACAGCTGGGAGGACTTCAGCAATGTATCTCTCTCAATGATGGTTGATATTGCTGGCAGTGTGTATATGAATTTCATAAAAATGTTCATGAGTAGGAGATGGGATCGGGAAGTACTTCCATCTAAGTTCCTGTAGGAATGGGTGAATCGGTCAATTTCGGTTTCTCCCAGTTTCTCATTTTTCCAGTGCCTAGTTCAGTTCTCCACATTTCCGCATCTGTTTGCAAAACCTCATGAAAAGTCATCAGCATTTTAGTGCAAATGTCTCCTAATATACACATGTCTGTATGCAATTCGTTCTAATACACACACACACTTTTCCTGGCAAAGGAAATTCCCCCAATGTATTTATTGTCAATCACATATACAATTTTTTTCTCTGGTACATGCATTTTTGTACGTGTTACTTGGCTGCAGAACCGCATTTCAAAATGTGGTGAAGTGCCAATTGTGTTGGATGAATTTCGGTTCATGTATTGTTTCAAAAAGTGCAAAATTAAAAGCTCGCATTTAAATGCAAATTGAAATGACTTTCTCCCCACGTCCCTGTTTCCCCTTCCCCCTTCCCATTTCATGGCTACTCCAGTCATTCCACGTGTTTTTTGCAAGCTCCCTGGTGCTATTGTGCTCTGGGTGATTCAGTTGCAGATCCTGAAACTGGTAGTGATGGAATGGCAAAGTAATGTGATTCATTGTTTACAGCGCTTTCCCCCACTTACAGGGTGTACAAGAAAAGGCACCACTCAGCAAAACTAATTGTTGAGCAAGGATTTTCAAGTTCAAGCTATCTGAAGACTCATCTACTGAATGCACACGAAGGGCAGCGAATTGTGGACTTTGAATTGGCCTCATCTGGCAGCAGTTATCCCAGACCACAAATATGGAAACCTGCAATTATTTTCCCCCTCCTGGCTAATAAAGGACTCTGCACTAATTAACTGGCTGTAACAGATGTTAGTCAAGCTTCAAATCTAATGTCATGTGCTCTGCTTGCAAGTAATGCTCCATTCTCCCAAACTTCCCTTTGGACTTTCAGTCTTAATCCTCTTGTTCTGCAGGGCAAGCTATGCTCAGTGCTATATTCATGTTTAACAAACACTTGCAAACTGTTTATTCTTAATTCTGATAAGACAGCCAGCCTCTTGGAAAGCTTGTATTCAGTGGCGTAGCCCAATTCTGTGCACGTTTCATAAAATAAAATCAGCAAATATGTCACATGCTGAAGATACATCTCTTTAGCCTGCGCTTTGAGAGTTATTTTTTGTGGGGCCCACTTCTTACGTTTTGTTTAATATTTGCATTTGTTTGGAATTGTTTCACTCATTTTTATAATTGTCGTAATTAGCTGTATGATTATATTGTCGTAACCCACCTGGTGGGGGCTTTCATCAGTTTGGTTACCACTTTTCATCATTGAACTCTGTTTATTTGATATTATTGAGGGTTCATCCAGACTTTCTTTTGTGTATCACAGAATCCTGAAAAGTGTAGACTTTGAAAAGGTTGTGTGTGCTTTGGTTGGGACCGGAAAGTGGGGCCTTTTTGCTACTCACACTAAAGCTTCAGAATTCTCTTTCAAAGGAAGTGTGCCTTGTTCCTTTCTAATGGATTTCCACCATACAGGAAAGACTTCTATTTCTAGAAAGGAAACAATTAAGAAACCATTATTAGAAACCATAGCAGTTATTAACACTATTTTTAGCCTTTTACTCTGCTGTTGTGTTATAATCCTGCAGTTTTAAATTCTGATGTGTCTCACGCGGCTACCGTTTTAAGGATTCTCTTATTATTATAATCTATCTTCTACTCTTGCTGTTTTTAGTTTTAATTTTTTTTAATATATTGTGACTTTTCAATGTGGTTGTTTTTGTTGCAAATTGTCAGTGGCCTTCGACTTTTAATTCAAGGTGAGACTTAAATACAGTGACTAAGAAGCCCATCTTGGCCATGGAAAAATTTGACAGAACCTTGAGAACTGGGTTTAAAGACATCGATTAAAAGGCATAGAGTTTTGTCTTCAGGTTGAATGACAATTCTGTCAAATGCAAACAGCCACAGAGTCATGAATATATAACAGCAGGGGGAGAGAGAGGCTCACTGTGGTAGCTTTCCATCAAGCACACACCATGAGGACATGTTCCTGGCACCACTGAGGAGCATGTATTCATAACAAATCCATTGGCTCAGATCCATACCGTCATGATGGTGCACTCCAGGAGGGAAGTCTGCAAAATCTCTTGCTGCCAGAGATGTCATTATTATGCTTCCTTCCTCTGAAGAGCACACAAGCCTATTCTGCGGAATAAAATGCACAATTCGTTCTGTAGGCTGGGCGATAAATGACAACAGTTTGTCCTCCTCCACCAGCCACCGCTGAATCCACAGAGTGTGGCGGCAAATATCCTGAGAAAGGTGGATTGGAATCCCTCGATTTCTGCTCCACAGAAATGCCCCAGAAGTAAAGAGCTTAAGGAGTGAACTCTTTCTTCCTGGTCACAAACCCTGATTATATAGAGGACTTTTGTTAAGGGGGAACTTTCCGGAACTCAGTTCTGGCACTTCTCAGGTGGGTTCCAGAACCTCTCAGGTGTGTGCCATTGGCATTCTAAGAGAAAGAGGGAGGTGTTCATGGTGAGTTCCAGCACCTCTTTTTCTAGGAAAATAGCATAACCAACATGCATAACTCTTGAGTTATGAGAATTATGTGAAAGAAGGCCCTCTTGTTTTCAGTAGAACTTCAGTGGCACGCCGTATTCTTAGGGTCATTGGCATAGACAAATTCCTCTCTTTTCTTTACATGGTTCCAACTCAGGTCTGCTATGATTATTTATGTCTTTGCCCTTCTTCCAAAACTGTGTAGCTGTCATAACAAAAGTTATATAGTGACAGAAAGTGTGTGTGAGAGTGTGAGTGTGAGTGTACTAACAATCTGGAATGACTGTTTACCATAAATCTCTCATCACCTTTTAGTTTATAATAATGTAACACCCTGTTTCATCAATCTTCCATCTCCTGTCAAATCAAAATCAGTTTGTGACCAAACTATATATCACTTTGTTTTGTAAGCTTAATCCCCCCCCCCAATTTTATGGCCTACCACTTTGTCCTTAAATTATTCATCTCTAGAATCCTGATCCCAGCCTTTTGATTATGATCACGGAACAAATACCAAGCTGCACTTAATCATGAAAATGAAAAGAGGATCTTGCAGTGCTGAAAAAGGGAATTTGTAGCAGAGGCCCATTTGAACATTTGGTGTCTTGGAACTGCAAATCAGGAAATCAGAATGGAGTCAGTCTGGCAGGAGGAGGAGCTCAGGAAGGAGGAAGGCAGCCAGAAGCGGTGGCAAGGCATTCTGGGAATCAGCGGTGGTTGCAGCAGCAGATTACCGGCAACTTTCATCCAGTGTAAAGTATAAAATGTGGTCAAAATAGATAAAATTACAAAGATAATACAATAACAGATTTACTTATCTAGTCAGATCAAAGCCTGAGGTAATAGATAACAAAACTGATCACAGACCAGTAGTCAAACACAGATAAAATTGCAGGCTATTTTGACCACATTTTAATACTTCTACTTTGGATTAAAGTTGTACTTCATTTTCCTATAAGATTCAGAAGCATTTTGCATTATTTTATTCCAGCTCAACTTAGTATTTGATTCTAACACCGGCTGTCACCCATTGTCTGGAATGTGAGCCATAACCAACACATCTGATAAAAACAGCCCGGCACTGTGGAATTAAATGATTAATCATTCCAGGTTTTGTACTGTGACAACAAATGGGAAGAAGGGAGGAGAGGAAGAGCAGACTTCCTGGATCAGGAGAGGTGACCATGCAGAAAGGCTAATTTTCTTTCTTTCTTTCTTTCTTTCTTTCTTTCTTTCTTTCTTTCTTTCTTTCTTTCTTTCTTTCTTTCTCTTTTTCTCTCTTTCTCTCTCTCTTTCTCTTTCTCTATTTCTCTCTCTCTTTCTTTCTTTCTTTCTTTCTTTCGAGAACAAGCAAAAGGGGCAGGGATCCTGCTTCTACTACCACAAAAACATACAATTTCACTTAGATCACTAGTTAAACTGCTCAGTTTGGTTAGCAGGCAGCATTAAAGGGAACAAAGCTTCAGTCTCAAGTCGATATGATAGATGCAGAAGCAAAGCTGCTCCAAGTGCCAAAGGGCCTTCTCTATTGTGTGTTTTGCAAATCTAAACTTGCAAATCTAAACTCACAGAGTTTTCGGTGAGACTTGAGTGAAGAGCAGAGCAAACTGCGCTGTAATGAAATAATATTAAAGGCCATCAACCCTGAAAAGTAATAGAGTGCACTTCGTACCAGTCTTACTGCTGCTCTTAGCAGGGCCATCTTACCCATTAGGGTTAGTGGCACCCTGTACCACGGCGCCTGCCCATCAGGGGAGCCCAGCAGCAGGAGTCCGGGACTGACCCAGAACAGCTGTGGGGGCATGCTGGGTGGCAGCTGCAGCTCTTCCTATGGCCAACGGTGCCCTTCTCCCTCCTGCCCGCCCCGTGGCAGTAGCGGGACTGCTGAGGAAGCCCATGCGGCAAATGAGCCTCAAGCTGCCCAGCACAAGGGGAGGGGGAGGGGCGCTGAGAATGTTGCTCCCTGCCTTCCATCGAGGAAAAAGGTAGAGGAGGGATTCATTCAGATTTGGGGCAGTGGAAGGGGAAAGCTGTGGGGATCTCTTTATGGATCTGTGGTGTCGTTAGACAGTAAAATACGTGTTAAATTGCTGTTTTAGGGGGCGTTTTTCATCGTCTAGAATGGATCGATTCACTTTTCCATTACTTTCTATGGAAAAGTGTGCCTCTACTTATGTACGTTTCTAGTTATGACCGGACCTCCAGAATGTAGTATGGTTGTAAGTAGAGGTTCCACTGTAATCCATAAGCCCCCCAGGCATGCTTTTTGGTGGAAATGTTGCACAGTGAAAGGAGTCAATGCTCTACCCCAGTGTTACAATGTTGGTCCACAGACTGTCTGTGAATGTTGTCTTTGTGTGACTGCATCAATCATGCGTAAATAGTGTGTGCAATGTTTGCAACAGATCCATTCTTCGGCCCAAATCGGAAAGTCAGGCTGCCCTGGGTTCATCATGGCTGAGTCCATCACACAAGACTAGGAAAAGCCTTCTCTAAGCCTTCAGCTTACCTGAATGGTGCTGAACAAAGGCAAAGCAGTGAAGGCAGGGCTGGGCAGGTGTACCAGCAAATCCAGTCGGATGTTCCTGCAGGTGTACCCATGCAGGCGTGCTCTCCAGAGTCCCACTGGATCAGACCAAAGACCCATCTAGTGTCAGGGTTAGTGTCAGGGCAAAGGAGGAATGGTGGAGACTGCCTCCCCATCCTGACCCTTCCAGGGAGGAGGAAGAGGAAGACAGTATAGATTTACAACAGGGGTTTCAGGGAGGTAGCAGCTCAGACGCAGATAAGGGGGAAAGCTGGGAAATCATGGGACAGCCGAAACAACATGCAGCTGACACGTTGTCATTAGAAAGCTTTCCAGACCCTCCATCTCCCAGAACTCGGCGAGCCTTAAAAGTAGGAGAGCAAAGAGCTCAAAGACAGAGGGCACATAGCAGCACTCAGAAGATAGAATGAGAATGACAAATGAGGAAGTGGGAGAGGCGGGGTGTGGAAATTCACTTGGGACAACCCCAAGAGGCTGGATTCTAAAGCCTCTCTCTGTAAATACTGAAATAGAAGAGGACGGTAAGAAACTTTTCCTTGTCTTTATACTTTTCTGGGCAAAAGCCGGGAGCCGCTGGGAGCATCCTGACTTCTAGTCAGCCATGCTGTTCTGGCAGTGGCCAACCAGAGACTTATAGGGAGCCCACAGACACACACTTGTGAAGACACACACCTCCTGACTGGATTGCTGTTTTAACTCTTCTAATTGTTGTGCTGTGAATGGGCTTGTTTTATTGAACATGTTAATTGTGAATATTTGTTCTAATGCTTTGACGACAATCCGTTGGTGTGCATTTTAAATAAGCGCCATTGGTTTTATACTGAAAAACGGCTTAGAAGCCTGTTTAGCAATTACATGTTATGTAGATCGATAAATGTTAATCATAATAAAAGCAAGCCATGAACACAACTGCACTCTCCCCAACTGGGATTTGCAGCAGCTGGTACTCTGAGACTTACAAACTCTGATGGAGGTACACAGCCATAATGCTTAGTAACATCAATAGCCTTATCCTTCATGAATTTGTTCAACTCCCCTTGAAAGCCGTTCAAGTTGGTAGCCGTTCAGGACAGTTGCCCTCTGATGCAGAAGGTGACGTGGGAACAGAGAGGAGAAAGCGCACTCATTCCTGTGCTTCCTTTGTATGTTGCTTTACCAAGTTTTCTGAACACTCAGAAAGGACTAAAGCCATGCTAAAACATTTCTACCATTACCTTCCCCCGTTCTAATTATGAGAAAACTTTTTATACCTGCGGGATGTGCAGTTCGGTAATTGTGTAATGATTGTTTCCACTTAAACGTCTAGAAGTCGGTGCCAGAGGAAAATGAATGAAAGCGTTTCTCATTTACAAGGAACCTAATGTAAGTACAGCTCCAAGGAATCAGAAAGGAATGCCCTGAAGAATTTAACTGAGATTAGAGGGAAGAAGCCACTGTGTGAATATTTCACTTCCAAGGCTACGTTCATAAAAGATTTACACACCATTTATGTGGCGTGAACAACCACGAGGCTCTAGTTAGCCCAAACAAAACCAAAAGAATGCACAAGACATTCTTTTCCCAAGTGCAGTTGTGCACAGCTATGCAGCTTCCAGCTCTTTTGTCTCTACACCAGTAGCCTGTTCTCCATTACACACAAGTCACAAGGGATGCCCAAGCTGAAAAGGCAGGAAAACATCAAAACGCAAGCCCTTTGCATCAAAAAGCAAAATGCCGGTGCTACATCCTCGATACATGTGTCACCTCAGCTAATATGCAGGCAATTATTCAACTAGGTTTAAGTTGTGCATGGCCTGGGAATGTGGTGTGGTGTTTGGAAGAAGGGAACACACATTTTAATCTTGGTCAGCATGCTTAATATAACCTTTGGCAATACATGAAATGTCCCTTCATACGGATCTAAAAAGTTGGGAGCTCAATGGATAACAGTGTAGAAGGTTCACTGACAAGCTGTGCTCTGGGATCCAAAATTATCAGTATCAGGACCAGTATTCAGTCACAGACCAGCATTAGATAAAACATACAGATAAACTGAACACATAAGACTTAAAACAAGTAAGGGATAAGAACTAGTAATTAAAAGGTGATTGTACCACACATAACATAAAAACAAAGACAAACTGTTAAGGGAGGGAGCGCAAAGGAGCACAGGTCCTGCATTTTGGTTTAGGAGCACGGGTCCTTCAGTTTAGGCCTAGTCTGTGGCGCAAGCCATCCTTTGACAAGTATCCATCATGGCAGCGCAAAATCTAGCAACTAAGTATGTAACATCTGGGTTTTCATCTTGAAGTAGTAGAGAGGTATAAAGTTGTTCTGTGCGACCTGGGAATTTATGTAGTATAGGCAAGATGAACCTAGCTCACATATCTGTATAGTATTGGCAGTGAAAACAGGCATGTTCTGTTGTTTCCAGTTGCCCAGAGCCACATGGGTATTTCCTCTCCTCATACGGTGTCTTCCTAAAGCGGTCTTCCTGGATGGCTGAAAGGAGGAGCTGGCAATGGCACAGAATGAAAGCCCTTCGCTGTTTTGGAATTTCAAGGTTGGTTATCTATGGCATTTGGGAGGTGAGGTGTCTTCTGGTTTCATTGATTAAAAATTATTAGGATTTCATGAGTAGCTTTATGCATTATAGTCTAAGCGGCAGGCAGGGGTTCAACAATCTCCACAGCAAAGTGCACATGGTTCAGGCCCACCTGAGAGATGGCAGAACTGAGTTCCAGCGAGTTCTAGTGCATATATATATATATATATATACACACACACACACACACACACACACCGTATTTTTCGCTCTATAAGACGCACCAGACCATAAGATGCATCTAGTTTTTGGAGGAGGAAAACAAGGGAAAAAAATATTCTGAATCCCAGAAGCCAGAACAGCAAGAGGGATCGCTGCGCAGTGAAAGCAGTGATCCCTCTTGCTGTTCTGGCTTCTGGGATAGCTGTGCAGCCTGCATTCGCTCCATAAGATGCACACACATTCCCCCTTACATTTTAGGAGGGAAAAAGTGAGTCTTATAGAGCAAAAAATACGGTGTGTGTGTGTGTGTATGAAAGAACAAGGTATGAGATGCTTTGTATTGTCTCAGTATATTAC